AAATTGAACTTGGTAAATTACAATCCGGCTTAACTGCAGTCTAGGGGGAACCATATCCGGGTGATCTCTCTCGACTTGAAAACAACCTTCTTGCTTGCTTTGCTTGTTTGTTAGTTTGGACCTTCACTAAAGTTTCACTGCTAAATAATAAGAATTCACTGAGTAGTCATCGCATCTAGGACCCGAGTTGACATTAATACCCAAACCCCCTATACTACGCTTTAGGAAGTGGTTACACTTGGCCATTTTCTAGAGTGACGGTAGGAGCGATTCAGATGTCAGGATTTTCTGCTTGGGAGTAAGGATAGTGAATCGGCGTACACTTCAACAGGTAAGTGTTGACTCTGTCTGAGCATAGTTGCTTGAATTGTTGATCCAGAACCAACTCTTCTATTAATTTTAACCGTTTATTCGTTTGTGCAGCAGCTTCCTTGATGGGGGATGCTAGGGAGATTCATTAATTGGATTTGGGGCCCCTGTCCGATCTAATATGAGAACTGGTGGGGGAGTAACAAATGCCGCTGTTTTAGACACCTCAAAACGAAGATGAAGAAGACAAGAAAGTTAAAATCAAAGCAACCTTGTCCATCATCTTTCTTTGGCTGAGTGGCATGTATTTTCACGGGAAAAATGCACGAGGTATGTCCTTGAATAACTAAGAACTCATTTCCAACTCTCTAGGTTCGTCAAACCAAAAAATGAACCGTCAAAGACTACACTGTTTGTAAATCAACCAAGATAAAATATTCTGTCCCATCAATTCCAATGAACAAATAAAAAAACTAAGTACTTTTCAACTCCTTGCTGTGGATGTGGTTCAACTTCTTGCTTTGAATGTGTTGTTCAACTTCTTGCCTTGTCCCCTCTTCTGAAACATAAAAAAAAAGATAAAAGAACATTAAAGCTGTAACTTTTAGCAAAGGCTCTCATTTAATATATACAGTAGGATACAATAGATTAATTTAACTACAAAAACCTGTTGGGTCCGCTCAGATTGGCGTTCATAACACTGAGTAGAAGGCTCCACACTAGGTTTTGTATGCTTATTTGATTTTCCTTTCTATTGCTGATGTGTCACAGTACTACTCCTAGTACGTGGCCCAGTTTGTTACAAGAGGATAAATTAACTCTTAAGCTATTAGTTACTTCTAACAATGTCAGAACTTTGTGAACAAGTAATTGTGACATAACCTTCTGTAGTGGCTGAACGTTTTCGTTAGGCTGCACATTATTATTGATCCTGCTACTTCGTTGCTTCTGATATAACCAAAATAACATAATTAATTATCAAGACCGTTTAATTCTAACAAGAGCACCGAATATAGATGCTAATTACCTTTCGGGGTTGACCTCCTTGGTCATCATCATCGTCCTCATCATCTCCCTCTTCTCCGTCATCGTCCTCGTCATCATCCAAGTCATTATCATCCTCCTCCTCATCTGACTGAGATTCTGTCACGTCAGCTGGGGGTTAGTACAAGTGCTCCTATAATGCCCATCCCTTATCCCACATCTTCCACACTTCCTTCTTTTTTTCTTTTGTTATTTTTTTCCTTCTCATTTCCTACAACCCTTAAACCTCACTTTATTTGGGTTCTTTATATCTTTGAACTTGTCGGGTATGACAATTCTTTCTCTCTCGGCCGGGGTTTTCTTCAGCATCTCCAACTTGTCGCTTTCTGCTACCAACACTGCTTGAGCTTGACGAAAAGAGAGAGGAGAGTCTGCCCCCCAATAAGCAAAATCGCATACTCAAAAACTGTAGAGTCCCGTACCGAATGTTGAAAGTGCTGTCATCCACCACTGCACCTGGTTCTGGAAGAGTGTCTAATGACTTGGGGTTCTTTGAGCAACGTCTGACTACCAGCTTTTCAGGAAAAGTCTTAACCTTTTCTTCTTTTAGAATAAAGATCATATGCGTGCAGGGTATTCCAGTACTCTTAAACTTTTCACAACTGCACTCCATATCATGCGTTTCAATGTTGTATTTCACTTCCACAACCTTCCCTTTGTTGAACATGGATAAAGTGTAGATGTGTAAGTTCCCTTCTTCAGTTTGCTTGTCCTTTATGCATCCAATAACCTCCGCAAGCTCTTTTTCGAATTTAAGAAATGCAACTCTTGAGTATAACTTAGCTGCACTTTCCTCAAGGTGCAATAAGATCGAATTCTGGACTGGTGCTGCACCGTAATTGGATTCAAAATCCAATCTAACCTCTGTTTCCCTCATATCCCTAACCCAACGATCATAATGAATGAAAAAGTCAAGTAAACTGATCCTCTCAGTGCCATACCTAGCGACAACTGCATTCATGCTTTCACATCTTGATGTGGTTGTCAATCCAGCAAAGAAATGAGAGCGCAAATATGTGTTTGCCCATTCAGTGGGTCTACCAAACAGTTTTGTGGACACCCATTGGTTGTTTTGTAAGCCGCATTCTTTTATCAATGCCTTCCATTTTTCCTCAAATTCAACTGGCTCATAATCAGCAGTTACAAACTTGCTCTATCGGGGTTCAAAGTTTGGACTTTTTTCACCCTGCTAGTAATATTCTTGGACAGATGCCATGCACATAACCTGTGTGCTGCATCTGGAAAGACAGTAGCAATGGCTTTCCTCGTTGCTTTATCCCCATCCGTGACAACCGTATGTATCTTCTTTTCACCCAACATTTCATTCAATATATTCAATGTCCATGTGTAGGTTGCTTCAGTCTCGTTAGGCAATACTGCACTCCCGAATAAGCAGGACTTGAAGTGATGATTGATACCTATATTCATTGTAGAAAAAAATATTCAACTCAGAGAAGATAGTGGTAATACCTGTATCCAAAAGGGTGATCAATTAACCTCCATTACTCTTTTGTTTACCATGTAGACAAGTACAGTAAATACAAAATGCGTATATAGGATGCTTACCTGTGAAAATAACAAGGGGCATATTGTAAATGTTTTTCCTGTACGTCGTGTCAAATGCGAGCAGCTCACCAAAACATGCAATGTCAGCTAGGCTAATGATGTCTGCCCAAAATAAACTCTCTAGCCTTTTCTCATTGTCAGTAGTGTATCGGAAGATGAAGTGTGGGTCCGTGCTTTTCTTTGATTCCAGATAGGCAAGTGTTGTAGCTGCATCACCCTCGCTGATCCTTTCATTACGATCTATGCTGCTGAAATTATACCCATCTTTGACTGTGTACCCAAGTTTGTGATGCCCTCCAGCAGTATGAATAGCAAGCTTCATCACCTGGGAAGGTTTCATACCAGCATCCTTTTTAAATCGAAAGTCCGCTTTGTCTGCCTATGTTAAACCTCGATGCGATCTTAGGTGATGTGTCCAAGTCTGTTTAGCTGGTTCATGACTGTGTTGTACTTCAAACTTATCGACTGCCCATTTTCCATCATTCTTGTTCAATGACATGCGCATCCTTGCTTTGCACCCATATCTGGTCAGCATGGGAGATTCTCGCTTTTTGTCCCCTTTTTGTGGGGCTCTCTTTCCCTCACAGGAACACATGAAAGCTGCACTAGTAACTTCTCCCTCGGTATTTTTAGCTGTTTTGAGCGCCTAACAGAAAACCCCAAGCCTTTGCATATGCATTGTAGAATGTATATGCTTCTTCATGATCATTAAACAGCTGACCAATAGTAGGAAAATTTTCAATTGCATCTCCCGTCATTGTCTGTTCTCCATTAGAGGCAGCATTGGTTACCGTTTCGGTTTCCTCTAATATAACAGTATCATCTGCTTCTGACTCATTAACATGATTTTGATCTTCTTCCATGGCTTCAGTGTTGCCAATATTTTCCTGTGTTGGGGTCTCGGCAAGGGAGAAAAAGGAGAGGCTGGTTTTAGGGCGGAGGCGGCTAGCCGACGTGATTCTGCACAAGGCAAGTGTTGGGGTTTATTTCTCTTTATATGCTTTCGTGGGTGATTAATAATTTACCTTTAGTACTTTATTTTTAAAAATCCCTCATAATGATCACATAATAACTCCCTAATATCATCATTACCTTTAGTGCTTGGTTTCAAACATGATACTGATGGGCCTAACGACCTCTACGAGGTTTTCCTATCTCATCTTCTTTCATAGAGGAAGAATACTTCCCAAGAGATCTTAGAAGGTCATTGCATCTGATTTTCAGCAAACTGATAGTGCTTTTGCAGAGGCATGCTTGTTTGATGTTGGTCTTGCTTCTGGCACCACTGCATTGGTTAGCAGATGTTTTATGATTTATCACTTACGTATATGCAGTTAATGACTCAAGTGTGTGGATGGTTTTGTGATTTATCACTTTAGTATATGTAAGAATGAAGCACCTCTGTAATAATGGAGGGTGGCTATACGTTGAGACTTCTTTGTAGAATGTTGTGTTTAAGTCAGCAAGTTGAATGACTTTGCCTTTGCTATCCGTCAATAGTAAATGCTATTTAAGTAGACTTTGTTTTTGGAGTTCTTTTTTATAACTATATCCTCTATTTCAGGTAATTGGGCAGGTTGTTAGTGGTGGCAAATGATGGAGACGGTCGGGGAGTGTTTTCTCGGCATGCCAAAGCAGTTGATGTTGACAGAAGCAAAGCTGAATTTGGAACAGTAGTGGTATAGGGCTATTGGGATTTCTAAGGGTCTCAGCATCAGAGGAAAAGGTTCTGACTGCTGGAGGTTTTAAACAGGTGTGGGATTGGATATGGGGATCAGCTTTTGTTATTGTTTCTATTTGCTTTCATTTCTATAGGTAAAAGCAATAAAAAGTCTCTCGGAGCTTAGCAGGTGCTATCTCCGAGACGAGGACTGACCCGTAGATTGGGGAACCTCGTTAAAAATCCTGTGCGCATTTCCTTTACAGCTCTGTTCTTATTTTTCGGTTCTGTGCTTCCTGCCTTCAGAAGATCTGCTTCTCATTCCTCTTTTCTGGGAAGAAGACGATCCTCAATGTCAAGGAGAGTTCCTTCGGTTTGGGCCTTAAACAGTTGGGCCAACTGACCTTAGTCTTCTTCTTTCTTTTTCTCTTTTATTTCATTCTGAGCCTGTTCATTCAAGCCCACCTTGTTGTCTGTTGATGGAAGGGAGAAACTGAGACTCTTGGCCTGTTTATGATGGCTACCTAAATGGACAGCTCATGTTGCTAAGGAAATAGGAGATTGGCTACCTAAATCGACAGCTTAGTGTCGTTCCTTGTAAACAAGATCGATTACTGAGAGAAATCGCAAGGAATCATACTAGCTACATAATTAAACAAGTCCATCAAATAAAAGCAACAAAGCAAACAATCCATAAAAAATCATGTCTCGTGCTGGAAGTAAAATATTATCCAAAACCCAAACTGAGAAAAAAACAAACAATCCATAAAAAATCTTGTCTCAGTGCTGGAAGTGAAATATTATCCAAAAATCCAAACTAACGAGAGAAGCAAGAATTTAGAGGAATAAAATTCGCCCACAATTAGTCAAACAAATTTCTTTGGCATTTTGTGGTTATTTTTCTGTCAAAATGGTGCTTATAGACGTCCATAGCTTCCAGAATAATTTTGCTGCGTATGGTATTGGATGGATCTGTAATTAAGTTTACGGCCAGCCACAAGCGACTTCTATAATCACAGCTCTGTATTCATAAAGCAAATTAAGTACACTACTTCGATGTTTTCAATGTAAAAGCTAAAACAAAATGATGATTATACTAGAGGTTGGAGAAAACAAGTTCATACCCCCATATAAGAATTATCATTAGCCTCACCATGCAGCATCCATTGACACACCCAGAAACAGCAATCATAGCTGCGGGATAAGAACAACATTTTATTCACAAACCCAATATGCCTAAAAATCCACAAATTTACAAAAAACAGAACCAATTGCTAAGCTATTCAATTGTTTGGGAACATCTGGCGGGGTTAGGATTAAGAACACATGCACCTTGGGCACCTCATATGCTGGTGGCTTACCCGGAAATGCATCAATCATCTTGTACAGAAAGCCCAACTATACCAAAGACTCAATATATGAGAATATTAAGTTACAAATTACAAAGAAAAAAGTTAGCAATACAGAGGCTAACGTTTGATCACCCACCATTCTTTTAATCCTTTTCTTACGAATTTCCTTCAGCCCAGTATTATTATGCATTGAGTCTACAACATGCCCTTCTTTTCGTTCCATAAAAACCACAACAAGAAACCAGTGTTGTTTCTCATCATTCATTGGTAAATAAATCTGAAAAAATGGGGAAGCCACCAACATTTAAGTTTAGAGGTATTTCATATATCATGTCAGCAAGAAAATGACAACTATAAGCTAAATTACTAGTAAAAAGGACTATTAATTAAAAAGAATACCTCATTGCATTCATAGGTGCCCGCCAGGTATATGTTTTTGTAATTTTTCACAGCTTTTTGTGGAGACCAACCCATTTTCACGACCAAATCCTAGTAATTTGTTCACAGTTGTACCACATATTTAATATTTGTCATGGTCCAGAAAGACTAACTTATAAAATGTAAAAGAATTGCGGTTTTACCTCAAAACTAGATGGCAGGTACCAAGGTCTCCCTTCACCCTTCGGCCAAACCCTTGCAGAAAGAGCTAGTTTACAGGCTACTGCGGTCAAAATCTTTAAACAAACCACAATAAATATAGATACACTGCAGTAAGGAATTCTAAAACAAATTGTTTTTAATAAATACTAAGATAACCGTCAAGCCATATGCCCGACAGCAAGTTCTTCAGTTCTTTACGACTTAAATGATGGCCAAAGATGAAGCACGCAATGGCACGGTCATTATCACCTAGCTTCATGATTTCTGTGACCGGAAAAGTCACCTACAATTTCACTTTGACAAAATATTAAAATAATGCAAAACATTATTTCCAAAAACACGTTTGATAATTGAATACCTTGCCCGAGAATTTGATTTCGTCCATGACAGTAGATTTTTGACGCTTTGTGGACGATCATCATCTGAATCGGAATCTAGAATAAAAATGTTGTGTACTAGGGGTGACGGAAACATGGGTAGGAGGAGAACTAGGGCCTACTTGGAAACCAACATCCCTAAACATCTTCTCAAGAACTCCAAATTGAAATTCAGTTTTTGAGACAAGTGACATCAAAGAAGAAACCTTATCGTACAAGTCATCAATAGTCAGCTTCATTGCGCCATAGGTACTTCGCAAGGAAATCATGGATTTCTCGGTAACATCATCTGTCATGCTGAATCAAGTAGCCATTCCAAAATTGCAACCACAGTAAACAAAATAATAATCAAATAATAGTTTGTTTGAAACTAACAGCTCGACAATTAGGGGAACACATCAAATACTTGGTGGAAATAATAAATCAGTCGCTTTCTTTACAACCACGCATCTGCTGTGCCTATACGAGAAGACTAAAGGCATATAGTGGATGGATAAATTATATTGCAGAAAATAAAGACACATCCCTCAATAATTTTCCATACTCAATGCTCGATTACACTTTGCAAAGGAAAAGACGAGAGCAAAATAATTTAACCCCAATTTCCCCATTGACACCAGTTCGCAGACTCACAGCCGCCAAACAAGACGATAAAACCCGAAATAGAAAAATTGGGTTGCTAACATCTCTTTAAATAGACTGCACCAAAACCCTAAGATAACAACTAATTCTCATATTTTCCTTATCTATTCCTCTATTATAAAAGTAAAAAAACTAAATTTCCTCCGCACGATTCGCGACATTAACTATAATGAATAATCCCTTCCTTAAAAAAAACGGTGGACGAGAATGATTCTATGCTGAGGTGGAGAGCCATTTTCTGAGTGGTAAATCGTTCTGCCAATCTAGCCTAAATATCAAAAGACATTCTGGTCATACATAATAGGAAGAATGCACATGATCACCAAAACAAGCAGATGAAACCCTTCTTCTTTTTCAAGCCTCCCCAGAGTCACTGAAAATGGACCAGTCAAGTTCTTCAAGTAACGATTCAAGCAAGTAACGATCCAAGCTCACATGTAGCATAAGTACTGAAAACCTGCAACAAATAATCATTTCACTACATTAAGCCACAATGGGACGCTGCTCAAAACCCACAACGGAAGAAGGAACAGAGTTCCGTTTTAAGTTTAACAAACATGTGGAGAGCAAAACTCTTAATCCTGAATAATGTCGATCATTAAGACCTGGCAAATTCGAACAAATTCCCACTCCCAATCTCTTACCTCGAGCTGGCACACAAAGCCAAGATGCATGTCACAGATCTATGAAAATGATTGGGTACTGCCATCGCCATTGATTTTGTATGAACACGTCTCCACATTGAAGTTTCTTCTCCGATCAGCCCTCCTACCCACCTGTAGAGGCTACTGGTGAATTCGCTGTGACGGCGGCGGCCGAGCTCCAGCGAAGAGGGTATTCTAATAGCACAATGTTCAGATTTTAATTGCAACTGCGCTGCTGGTGAATTCGCGGTGGCAGCGGCACCTGAGCTCCGGCGAAAGGGTGGAATTCGATTGGTGGTAACGGTGGAGTTCAATATGTTTCATTGGAGAGGGAAGATCCGGATATTTGCGTCGACTAGGGAGGACATATGATGATGGTCAAGGGGGGAGGAGATGGTTCGTCGACTTAGTAGGGTGGAAGAGGGGTTTGGATTTGAAGGGAGGAGGCGGAGATGTGATGATGGTCAGGGGAGGATGAGCTTGGTCGTCGACGGAAAGAGGATGTGGATTTGCAGATCCAAATTAAAGCTATGAGAAGAAAGAAATTAGAAATAATGTAAAAATTGACTGATAAAGAAGTGATTAGAAGAAAATTAGGTACAAAGAATGAAAGGATATGAATAAATATGTATAGGTATTAGGTACTAAAGAGCATGTATGAAAAAATAATGTAACCAACTAATTATCTTTACATCATAATTAATAAATCATTTAATTATTATTTATATTAACCGTTAGATTAGATCAATGGTTTACATAACCTGGAGCATACTATGCGTCTGGAGCACACCAGCGTGACCCACATATATATATATATATATATATATATATATATATATAAATAATTGTTTGAACACCCATATTCTGAAGCATTTTATATAGTGTAAATTTATAGGTTTAACTTCATGATTGAAAATTTTACTTATGAGAATTTGAAGTGAGAAGAGTCTAATAAAAACTAATCGAAGTCATCATTGATGGGGCTCATTCAAGTCTTTATTGAACTTATCAATTATAGGTTCTCATTTGGTACAAAGAGACTAGTCAAATGGTCTGTAGTTCATCTAGAGCTAGGAAATGGATAAAAAAGGGAGATTGTAATATCTCGATTTTTTGTCATTGATAACATTAATTCAATGGATTGGAGGTTGAGAGATGACTGATGAGAGTGTTTTTTTTATATGAAAATAACAAAAGATTGAGTTAGATACGAAGAGTAACTTAAATTGGAAAGCCAAAATTAGTTGTATGGGGGCTTGCGAGTTGCCAAAGAGTGAGGAATAAAATATGAGTGGTATATTTAATTAATTTTAACTTCGTTGTTTCTTGATATTTTGGTATACATGGATCCCGTAATCACAGATACTACATAACATTATAAAAAGAATCCCAATTGCTAAAAATAAATAGGTATTCAGTAATACAACATTATAAAAAGAATCCCAATCGCTAAAAATAAATAGGTATTAGGTAATACTAAACAGTGATAAATTCGTTATATCTCAAAAATCGATACCAAACTTTAAGCCCTAATTATAATGATAAATTTATGAGAAAAAAATGAATAAAATAACCATACTTTTAGACTATATCTTCTTAGGGCTCATTTGGAGAATTGGAATCTAACTCTATAGATTCTAAACAATCTGAAAATTTTAGCTCTCTAGATTGTTGAAAAAAGATTCCAAATGTTCGTTATTTGGTAACTGCGATTGTTGACAATCAATGAAAAATTGAAATTCTATTTTTTTATCAAATGACTTATTTACCCTTAACCAACAGAATTAGAATGCATTGAGAAATATTGAAAATTTATTTTTAAGAGTATTCAGTGGGATAAATAAATAAATATAGAAGAAGAAAAAAGTATGAGAAAAAAACTCATAATATAGATTTAGAATCTCTCTAATTAGAGATTTGAAATCTATGAAAGTAAAATCCACGATAGAAATAGAAACAAAAAAAAAAAAAAAATTCAACTTTCGTCTGAATCTATGAATTCAGTAAGTCCATGACCGAAATCTTTTTCTCCAAACAACCTTTAATGTTAGACAATTAAAATTTAATTATAGTATGATAATCAATGTAATATCCGGTACTCTCTTGTAAGAAGTTTGTATCTAAGGGTGACAAAAATGCCCAACAACATGGTTAATCGCTCAAACAGACCCAATTACATAAGGTAAAATTCAAATTAAATAAATTATTAGGTGGTAGGATAAAATTGAAACCCGAAAATTAGGGATAATATATGGACATAGTTCTCATACTATCTAAATCTAATCCTCCCGATTATAGATGCATATTTATATTTTTCTACACATATTCATTCTCTCTCAAAATATTCAGCACTTGTAACACATATATAACATCTCAATGTATTTTTTTATTTCTATTATTATTGATTTATGACTGGCGATTGGCTTGGACATGGGGAAAAGGCTTTTTGGATGGTGGCAATTATGACGTGAGGTTCTACATCTTCAACCTAAACCCGAAGGGTCCATGGTTTGAACTTAAACCCTTCTCTTCAATCAAAGGCCACTAGCATGGACCAAAACCCTTATCTCTCCCTTCCAACTATCACCGATCATGAACTACCTTTAAGCACTCTTCCTCGGTCAACTCTTGCTAGTTCTTTAAGGTTTGGCAGTGAAGGAGTTCTAAACAATGTGGGGGTTTTGTTGGCTTGGGTGCCCATAAACCCCTCCTAAAGCATGTACTTTGGTTTTTCGTGGCACTCTCTACTTTATTTACCCCATTTTATTACCTCTTTTTCTTTTCTCTTTTCTTTTCTTTTTGAGGGGGTATTAGAGAGTAAAAACACTTGCCACCTAAACATTTATTGACCATATGGTATTGGTAAGTGGTAACAACATATTATCGGGTTTTTTCAACCGATTCGTTGTCACTATGTGTACCAGAAGTTGAGATGGGAAAAGAAGATACACTAATATATGGGCCGGTGCGTCTGGTTCAAATGAACATCAATGTCACCTCTTTAAGCCCGCTTTGATATGGCACACCAGCAAAGCGCCGAAGCCCATAACTGAAGCCCACTCATTTGAGAGGTGCTATGCTGCGCATGCACGATTGGTAGAAAGTCTAGCTGTCTACGCATTGATTGTAGAATTGGAGTCCAAATCTATGGATTCTACACAATTCAAAAATGCTAATATTATGAAAGAAATAGGCAAAATACACTTGTATAGGGATAACTTTCACATTTGTGACAAATATAACCATAACTATCGGAAAACACAAAATAGCCAATTCCGTTCATTCTTTTAACGATGTTAGTTAAATGTGTGACTGGACAGACGGAATATGCTGAGTTGGCGATTTATTGTCCCCACCAAACAATGTGGATTAATTTTTTTTATAAAAAATCATTCATCATCTCATAATATAGTTTAAAAAAGAAAATGCAAAAAGGAAAAAATCGCAATCAGACCAACCCTCCTCCCTTCCGTTACCACTTCCACCGCCCATCTTCCTCCTATCATACCTCTTCCCCAATTCAAACTCCACCCTAACTTCCCGATGCTCTCCACTACCTCAAAATTGCTTTCATCCCCGCCAACCCCAAATGTGATTGATCGAGAACCACCAACCGCTCAAAATTGCTTTCATGTGGAGACACTAATTACCCATCACCATCGCTCTCCTCTCTCCCTTTCTCGCTCAGCCTTCCTCCATTTATTCAAGATTTCGTTACCGACCCTACCCTGAATTCGGAGGGATTTAAGCATCAAAACCACGCTCACACTAAACTCGGTGTCTTCCACGGGAGTTGGCAAGTTGAGATCTAGAAATATGTATTTTTTGTTGATTTTGGCAGCCGTCGGAGGTAGTGGTGGATAGACGCTGCCGGCGAATGGTAAGAACCATCTTAGCTATTGGAGCAAAAGTATCCTCGAAGTCAATGCCATACTTCTGAGTAAACCCCTGCACCACCACTAGAGCCTTAAAGCATTCCAAAGAACCATCAGGCCGGACCTTGATATTATACACCCATTTGATGCCAACAACCGGGATCTCAGGAGGAGGGCGCGGAACAATATCCCACGTATGATTGACATGAAGGGCCAAAATTTCCTCTGTCATCGCAGCATCCCAACGAGGATCACCCTGGGCCAGAGAGTAGCGGGTAGGAATGAAGATCGGAGCAACTTGAAAGGAAAAATAATCGTTGAAAAAAGGAGGTGGCACCCCTAGGTTACCCTGATTGGAACAACGAACAGGAGGGACAAGCGGGCTGGATGGTGGAGCAACTCCCACAGTGGATGAAGAGGACCCGGTAGCGCTGATGGAATCGGATGAAGCTGAAGAAGACATGCGCGAAGAGGAGCTAGGCGACGCTGGAAGACTAGGCAAGAGAACTAGGTGCTTGTGAAGGGGGTAGCGGACTGTGGGTTGGCTCCAGGTCGGGAAAATTGCCAGCAGCATCATCATCATCGGGAAAAGAGGGAGGACGAAGGGAGACATCAAATAGTGGGGTGGATTCAGACGAGGACGAATTGAACATGACATTTTCAAAGAAGACCAAATCGCAGGTAATACGGACAGGAAGAAGTTGAGGATCATAACATATGCCCTTATGAATATCTCTATAGCCAAGGAAAGCACACCGAGCAGTCTTGGATGTCAATTTGGTTTGTTCAGAACAAGGCAGAAGGACAAACCACATACAACCGAAGACACGAAGACTAGAGTAGGGAGGATGTTTACCAAAGAGTTTGAAAAACGTAGTGACTTGACCCAAAACCGGTGTAATTTGATAATTAATCAAACGGACAGCAGTCGCTACAGTCACAGGCCAAAAAGAAGAAGGAACATGAGATGCCAACAAAAGAGCTCTAGTGACCTCTAAGACATGACGATTATTACGTTCAACTAAACCATTCTGTTGAGAGACTTCAGGACAAGATTTATTGGGTGAGAATCCCAAGAGATTTATAAAGATTGAGAAAAGGAGTGGAACTAAACTCACCACCGGGATCGGAACGGACTACACGGACGGTCCTATCAAATTGAGTCTGGATCATTTTTCAGAAATTCTGTGGCAACAAATAGGATCTCAGATTTAAACCGTAAGAAATATACCCAAGTAAATTAGGTGGCACGATCAACAAAGAGAGCAAAGTACTTGTACCCATTGCGAGAAGTAACTGAACTGGGTCCCCTAAGATCAGTATGAATCAAATGAAATGGTTCAGTAATAATAGTAAGACTAGACAGAAATGGAATTGACTCGCATGAAACTACACCACAATTAAACCCCAATTAGAGCTCAAGTTTTTAAACTCTAATCGAGTGCAGTATAGGGCAAGTATCTATATATCGGCCAGGGCTGGTCCATCTACCCCTACTTTCGTTGATGAAATCATTATCTAGCGATAAAACTTTGGTTTAAAGGTTTGCCAATTGAAATGAAAGAAAGAAAAAGTAATTTGGTTTGAAAACTCTTTTGTGGGAAAGTCACTTGGGTCTTCTCCCCTAACCAATACCATGCTACGTGGGTTGGAACGATTGCCTTGGGAACGTCAATCATGAACCGCAGATGAAAGTGTATGTGGTCGGAGACCACAATCTCGATTGCTAAACCGAGGTGAGGATGAAAGGTCGTGTCACTCGACCCTCTCGGTTTAGACAATCGGTAATCAGCTTACTTCTTCACTAAACTCTAAGGTCGGACGGTTTAACCATGATTAATCGACTTGTTAAATTCAATATTGAGGATTACCCTAACTCAACCTAGTTTAGGTGGCTTGGAAAGCGCAAGGAAACCAACTCGATTGAGTCTCCCTTAAAAAGGGGGATTTTCCTCTCTAAACTAGGCTAAGTTTGCAAATTAGTTACTAGCACCTACATGCACAAACTTAGGGGTGCTAAGCAAAATTATGCACAATCCCTAGGATCCTAAGCACAAAATATGCACAACCCCCAAGTTGCTAAGCACAAGCATGCAAAATTATGGTGAAAAATACCTCAAACATTAAATTGAACAATACCCAAATCAATCATCCAAACCACATACAAGAAAACTACACGGTAGGGTTTAGGGTTTCACTACACCCAAGTGAAAGGAGGACTACTCCATGGAAGAAGTGGGAAGAACAAAGGGGGAAAAGGTGGGATCCATCTTTTGGGAATGCCTCCTCTCTTCTTGATCCTTGAGCTAGGATTTCCTTGGGGAAATCTTCCCAAAACCTCCTTTGAAGCCAAGCCTTAACTCTCCTTCTCTTTGGTTCTGTTTTTCTCAGTAAAATGCAGAAGAAAGTGTTTCTCTCACAAGAGTGGCTTTCCCCTCTCTCCTCCTTGTAGCTCAGCTTTTAAGCCCAAGAGGAGCTGAGTTCACGGTCGTGAACCATCAAACGCGTTCGTGAACTCACGCCTTGCGCTAAAACGCTCCGGTTTCGATCACGGCAGTTCACGGGCAACTGCTTGTGTTCACAGTCTTAGTGACCGTGAACTCGCCTTGCGTAAGTAACCTTCAACTTGGCTCTGGACTCCTTGCGCTTCACGGTCAACTCCACTTCTTCACGGTCTTGCACGACCGTGAACTCCTGCCTTTAGCCGTGAACTTACGCCTTTTCACCTCTTCTCCCGGTTTTCGATCCTTTTTCGCCAATCCTTCAACTCCGAGGCTGGTTCCACCTGTTAAATCCTGAAAAGAACTCAAACACGAAAAACCTCGCATAAAACCAACCTTTAATGAGCGAATTTGGCACAAACATCTGAGCAAACCGGGGGGGGGGGGGGGGGGGGGGGGGAATATGTGGAATTAGGCCCGAATCACTCCCCCACACATAGACGTTTCCGTGTCCCCAAGAAAACCATTTCATACACACGGTAATATTTGAACCTACACAAATGCTTTGGGGACAACTCAAAGGACGCGAAGCGGGAATTCTCGATGTTCATTGACAATCAACACATGAACTGTTTCAAGCAATACTGACATCCACCACAAACGACATTCAAAGCCACCAAAACGGGCAAACGAAAAGTTCTCAACTTATTCATGGCTAAATGCAAGTCTCAACAAAACCACTTATCAACCACAACCAAACATGCATGGAATTCATGTCCGAGGAATGAATGGAAAGGCAACGAAGGTCCTCACCGGGGTATGATATGACATGCAAAGTAAGAATAAATCGTTCACTCTCAAGACCAGTGGGGTCGGGACCTTTTTTGGTGCAAAAAATGTGCACAATCGTAACCTCTCGGCCCTATCGTCTCAATAACACGGCGGTAACCTCTAAATGTTAGAGTTCACGGAATGGTTGTCACCATTAGCTCGTCCGGAGGTCTTAGACACAGGTTCATATGACTGGCGATTGGCTTGGACATGGGGAAAAGGCTTTTTGGATGGTGGCAATCATGACGTGAGGTTCTACATCTTCAACCTAAACCCGAAGTGTCCATGGTTTCAACTTAAACCCTTCTCTTCAATCAAAGGCCACTAGCATCGACCATAACCCTTATCTCTCCCTTCCAACTATCACCGATCATGAACTACCTTTAAGCACTCTTCCTCGGTCAACTCTTGCTATTCTTTAAGGTTTGGCAGTGAAGGAGTTCTAAACAATGTGGGGGTTTCGTTGGCTTGGGTGCCCAGAAACCCCTCCTAGAGCATGTACTTTGGTTTTTCGTGGAACTCTCTACTTTATTTACCCCATTTTATTACCTCTTTTTCTTTTCTCTTTTCTTTTCTTTTTGAGGGGGTATTAGAGAGTAAAAACACTTGCCACCTAAACATTTATCGACCAATGCTCTCTTTTTGGATGGTGGCAATCATGACGTGAGGTTCTACATCTTCAACCTAAACCCGAAGGGTCCATGGTTTCAACTTAAACCCTTCTCTTCAATCAAAGGCCACTAGCATCGACCAAAACCCTTATCTCTCCCTTCCAACTATCACCGATCATGAACTACCTTTAAGCACTCTTCTTCGGTCAACTCTTGCTATTTCTTTAAGGTTTGGCAGTGAAGGAGTTCTAAACAATGTGGGGGTTTCGTTGGCTTGGGTGCCCAGAAACCCCTCCTAGAGCATGTACTTTGGTTTTTCGTGGAACTCTCTACTTTATTTACCCCATTTTATTACCTCTTTTTCTTTTCTCTTTTCTTTTCTTTTTGAGGGGGTATTAGAGAGTAAAAACACTTGCCACCTAAACATTTATCGACCAATGCTCTCTTTTTGAGGAACTAACTCCAACACTACACTCCATTTTGCACTCCTAGCAAGAACCACACATGAACATCCTATGTAGAACCTCTATGGAAACTCAACGGTAAGAGTTCCGAGACACACGGGCGACTCATGTTTGGACACGAAGAAAGGATTTGGGGGTGGTTCTACTAACACCTTTAAGCTCACAAGAACAAAGCTCTTAAAATGAGAACGACCCACGGAATCACACGGCTCAAAGGGGTTGACTAAGGGATGATGCATTTCGGGACAATCAACTTTTGGGGCGTGGACTAATCCTATGCCTCCATCATACTTGCTAGTGATAACTTGTGATGCTACACACCATGGTAAAAGGGAACTATCAAACCGAAAGAAACGAACGGCTCAAAACTCATACATAGGCTACCTAGTTACCCAACCATCTATTACAATTCATAAACACGATGCATGGAAATTGTAAACAAAAAGTGATCAAGTCAAGACCTTCATTCATTTATGCACACTGTGAGAACTAAACTCTTGCCCTATCCTAATGAACTTCCCAGTCATAATCATAGGATATACTCAAACACATACAAAGTTCAAGATTAATGTCACAAACACGAGAATTTCCCACCATCCGATCACTTTGAACATGCAAACGTTGCTTGGAGCCCTCAAATTTTTGAAATTTGGGCATACAAAAGGCTCCAAGCAACACCTCACTCACCCAAGCACACTAGAAGACTACCCCCCACACTTAAACTCGGCATTGCCCTCAATGGCGTAAGAAAGGGATAGAGTGATGCTACCGCTTGGGCTTGGTGAGTGAATGTAGGAATCAAACCGGAGTAGGATAATTGAAGCTTCAAGGAGAGACAACAAAAAACACACACAAACACAATACGAATCGCTCGAGGCGAGGTTATTACAAGCATAATACATAGTAGTAGTATTTCATGTCACACAAACACAAATAACAAAAACAAAAATAAAACAAGTTTAGGGTTACAAGTAGAGAAGTGGGGCGAATGGACGAGGGAGGGTCGGAGTCCATTGAGGTACTCCACTCCTCTCTCGCCCTGGAGTACCAGCTTCTGATTGTACAATGTCTCCACTGTGAAAGGCTCCATCCTTCCTACGCTGGTGCAGCGGGCCAGATCCACCTGGAAGTATCGGGCTATCTTTGTGATGATGCCTCCCATATGCATCAATCAACGATTCCAGATGGATCGGCTCAGCTGGACTCCTCATCGAGTGGAGGGCAATGAGCCCTCTATTCGTCATCAAGTGGCCTGACTGAAGGCTGGGGACGACGAATTTGGTGAGCAGAGTATGAAGAATCCTCCACAAGGTCTTCAACTTGATGGCCTTGGTCTTGCTCCCCTCGAACTCGCTCTGCTCGTGCTCTGGGCAGCAGAGGGCTCTGAATGCGTCCTGATAGTCGAAGTCGACCGTGTACTGTCGCTCCATCATCGTCATGTGAGCGGTGTCAAGCCCCATGGCCTGAGCAAAGCCATCATAGGTTACCACTTGCGGCTGACCGCCTTGCATGAACTCCACCCGGAACCGACTCTTCTTGCTGGCCGGGATGATGTGGGAGAAGGTGGAGTAGAACTCTATACACAGCTCATGAAAGATCTCCTCGTCCATGGTCAGGAGCTGGCGCCACTGGGGATGGGAGGGTCCCCAGTCATGGCGGCTCGGCACCTGAACAAGTTAAACATGTCCAGGTCCAACCGCCAGTGAGGCCCGATCGGGCTGTCACTCTGGTAGGCGAACTTGTCGCCAACTCTGGGTGGTTCACCAGGTAACTGATGAACTCATGCTCCAAGTTAAGCATCCTTCACAAAAAACAAACACACACCATACGTGGAAACATCCGTCATATACCGCTCATTGGGAGGAAAAGAGATTCCCCCCCCCCCCCATTTGTTTTTCCGCCATGGATAAAACACTTAAGCTCAAACCACCGTAGCATGGTTGTGGGTATTTCACAATTCAAGCACACAAAAATTAGAACCACAAACCCTACCACGGTGGCTACCATCCACCAATCAAAAAAAATCTCCACTTGCATTCATAATATTGCACTTGGTGGGCAAATTCTAAAAATAAACACAATTCGGTTCAAACATGCCCACCAAGGCTCACTAAGATCATGCAAAAATCAATCCATCAATTACACGACCTAATTCACCTAAGTCCTCGCCCTAACTAGATTCAATCATGCCAAGCACAAATATTCAACCTCACTTCACTACCTAATCCGATTCTCCACAATTCTCAAAGATAAAGTTGAAAAACAAACCTGGAGACTCAAGTAGGACGAGGGAGGAAGTGAGGTACGGGCTAGGACGGTGAAAAACTGGTCGGAAAACTTACAGGAGAGGGGTCGCCGGAGACTCGTCGCTGGTGACTTTAGAAAAAATGTGGTTCAAATCTCCCCAAATTCACAGCACATGCCGGTTTTGAGGAGAGGGGACTGGGTATGATGTTGGTTTTTGGTTTTGCTCACTGGATTTGGTGGGAAAATCGAAAAAGCGGCGGGGTTTTGCATTTTTCGACAATGATTCAAAATTTTCCGGCGAGTTTTTGGTCGTGAAGTGAAGGGTCGCCGTTCACGCCCCTTTTATAGGCAGAGCTCTGAGTTCATGGAGGCGTTCTCGCAAATGCGTCCATGAACACGGAGTGGTTGACAGGTGGTGAACGTGCATCAGCGCCCAGTTCACGAACGCGTTCGCCTGTTCACGGTCTTATAGACCGTGAACTGAAGTGAAATCAGGGCACTTTTGCAAAAATTTTGACTCAACCTATTCCTCCGTGCCTCCTAATCGATCACAACACAACCATAAACCGCAAAAACACAACACTCGGCACGGGGACACCACTTCACCGCTCAAACCCTTCACAAGACACTAAAACGAAAACTAAGAAAAAGAAAACAAACCTCTGTTGGTTTGCCTCCCAACAAGCGCTTGTTTATCATCATTAGCTTGACAGTTGGGGATCAATCACGACTTCATACGTGATGCCACCGAGAGCGGATCCGCTACACTCTCGGGGTGAGGCCTGTAGCCTCCCATCTTAGGCTCATTGAGTTGGCCCTCTTGGTTGACCAACCTTGCTCCGGGCTCCCCCATCTTCCGGGTCAAAGCTCCCTTCATCCTTCTTCTCCAAGAATTCAATCTTGGTCCTTTTGACTTAGGACCCTTCTTAACTTCCTTCTTAACATCATCAAAGACAACACAAGTAATAGTGGGGTTTGCATTAGGAGGCTCTCCTCCACTCTCATTCACATCATTTGAGACTAGCCCCTTCACTTCATCAATCCTCACCCTAGGATCAATTTTAAGCTTGATTCTCTCCTTACCATCCCTCAAAATTAGGGTTCCCTCATAAACATCTATCAATGCCTTGGCGGTTGCAAGAAACAGACGACCGAGGATGAGGGGCATATCCGAGTCCTCACTTATGTCGAGAATCACAAAATCGGTCGGATAGAAAAACTTGCCCACTCTCACCATCATGTCCTCCACTATACCTCTCGAGCTAATGTCTGAACGGTCGGCTAAGATGATGCTAAGCTTAGAGGTCTTAAGTTCACCTACTTCTAACTTTTTGAAAAGCTTATAGGGCATCACATTCACACTAGCTCCTAGGTCCGCCAAGGCATTGTCTAAATGGTGATCACTAATATCAAGAGGGATAGTAAAGCTACCTGGGTCGGACCTCTTTTTGGGAAAGCGATCGAGGAGGAAAGCCGAACACTCCTCGCCAAGAGTCGCATTGGCGAGGCCTTCCAGTATTGGCTTCTTGATGAGGAATTCTTTGAGGTACTTAGCATATCTCGGAATTTGCGCCATGGCTTCGAGGAATAGGACGTTGAGGTGGAGGTTGTGTAGCATTTCCATGAACCCTCCACACTCGTTGTCCAACCTCTCCTTGTACATCCTTGTGGGATAAGGAAGAGGTGGCACCTATCCATCCTCCGGGAATGCCTTCCTTGCCACCTTCCTCTCATTCGTCGAGGGCTTCTTCTCTCTTCTTTTTGGGGTGGTCTCTTCCTTGTTGGACTCTTCCTTATATATTTCTTCTCCCGTGGCGACCTCCGGAGCCACCTTCACACTCCTCACTAGAAGTGAATTCACCCCGGCTTGATCCTTGGGGTTCACCACAGTTTAGGAAGGTAAAGCTCCCTTGGGTCTCTCGGTGAGGATACCAGCAAGGTTGCCGATTTTCACTTCCAAGCTTTGAAGACTCGCTTGATGGATTCGGAGACCCGCCTCAGCTGAGGTAAAATTAGTAGTCGCCACATCCATAAATTGCTCAATCTTCTCGAACTTTTGGCTACTCGTACTCGCAAAGGTGTTCACTAGGTCCTCAAGCTTGGATAACTTGTCGGGTTGATGTTGTTATTGAAACCCTAGGGCACCTTGTGGTTGGTACAGTTGTTGAAATTTTGAGCCTTGGAGTTGGGGCCTTTGTTGGATGAAGGTTGGCCGAGGTTGGAAGTTCCCCGTGGGGCCTTGGAAACCCAGGGTCCTTGGATTAGCCGGTGATGCCCAATCAAAGTTGGGGTGGTTCCTCCATCCGGGGTTATAAGTATTGCTATATGGGTTGTTGACCCTAGCATTTGCCACAAAGTTGACTTGCTCCTCCGGAGTGGTTGCCTCCTTCATTGCTTGGCACTCCGCTATCTCGTGGCTAGTACTCGAGCACCAGTCGCACGACATTACCGCCCGTTTTCCTTGCCTATAATCTTCAAGCATAACCTCAAGCAACTTATTCAACTTTGCCTCAAGCGGAGCACTCGCTCCCATGCTTCGCACTCCCCTTTCATTGCTTCTTCTTCAACTTCTAGTCAACCCCCAATCATACCCCCCTAAGGGCCATATCTTCAAGGATCTCGGTAATTTGGGGCGGAGCCATATTCACCAACTTCCCCTAACATAAGGAGTGGATGAGGATCTTATTTTCTTGCGTTAGGCCTCAGTAGAAGGTGTCAATCCGACACTGTTCGTCAAACCCGTGGTGGGGTCACTAAAGAAAGTAATTGGAGTACCTCTCCCAAGAATCCCTCAAGGTTTTGTCCTCTTCTTGCTCGAAAGGTGTAATCTTCTTTATCCACTCCGCCGTCTTCGAAGGTGGGTAATAACGAGCCATAAACTTATTGAGGAGGTCGTCCCATGATGTGATTAGCCGAGGTGGGCGGTTTTTTAGCCACCTAAGTGCCTTCCCCGAGAGTTAGTATGGGAAAAGCCTTAGTTGCAAAGCCTCGGCCGTCACACCATTAATTTCAAGTTCCCCGCGAGCTCCAAGAATCTCTACGTGTGCTCTCTTGGTGACTCACTCTCATGGCCGTGGAAGAGAGCATTGCTTTGTATCATAGTCACCAGAGTCAGCTTGATCTCGAAATTGTTTGCCTCCACCAGAGGATTTAGGATCGGCGATTGAATGTCCGCCGGCCTTGGGGCCATATAGTACCCATTGTCCTCGGGGCTCCTTTTTCCCCCGCATCCTCATTCATATGGCGGGCTTGAGCTGTTCCATCCTTCCTTTGGTTCCCTACCATTTCCTCTTCAATGACGGGCACAACTTCCACTTCTTCAACTACTTATCCACTAACACCGGGACCCAATTGTTGTCCCCCTCTTTTACTCCTTCTCCTTGCCTCGACTAGCTCTCTCTCCCTTGCTAGGAGTCAGAGAGTTTGGTTTAAGTCCTCGTCAAGCGGTAGCAAGGGCGCCGGATTGCTCCAGGTCATGCACCTCCTACATACAATAGGAAAACACCAAGTCTAGCACAAGCAAAGACCACACACACTTGCAAAACTGGAAATTAAAAGCTAGATTAACAACCAACAACTTTTTCAGAATAACAGACCGTTGTCCCCGGCAACGGCGCCAAAAACTTGACTCGCACGAAACTACACCACCAATTAAATCCCAATTAAAGTCCAAGTTTTTAAACTCTAATCGTGTGCAGTATAGGGAAAGTATCTATATATCAACCCGGGCCGGTCCGTCTACCCATACTTCGGTTGATGAAATCATTATCTAACGATAAAACTTTGGTTTAAAGGTTTGCCAATTGAAATGAAAGAAAGCAAAAGTAATTTGGTTTGAAAATTCTTTTGTGGGAAAGTCACTTGGGTTTTGCTTCCCCCCTAACCACTACCATGCTACGTGGGTTGGAACGATTTCCTTGGGCACGTTAATCGTGAACCGCAGAGGAAGGCGTATGTGGTCGGAGACCACAGTCTCGATAGCTAAACCGAGGTGAGGATGAAAGGTCGTGTCATTCGACCCTCTTGGTTTAGACAATCGGTAATCGGCTTACTTCCTCACTCAACTCTAATGTCGGACGGTTTAACCACGATTAATCGACTTGTTCAATTCAATATTGAGGATTTCAACCTAGTTTAGGTGGCTTGCAAAGCGGAAGGAAAACCAACTCGATTGTGTCTCCCTTAAAAAGGGGGATTTTCCTCTCTAAACTAGGCTAAGTTGGGAAATTAGATTACTAGCACCTAAATGCACAAACTTAGGGGGTGCTAAGCACAATTATGCACAATCCCTAGGATGCTAAGCACACAATATGCACAACCCCTATGTTGCTAAGCACAAGCATGCAAAATCATGGTGAAAAATACCTCAAACATTAAATTGAACAATACCCAATATCAATCATCCAAACCACATACAAGAAACCTACATGGTAGGGTTTAGGGTTTCACTACACCCAAGTGAAAGGAGGACACTCCATGGAAGAAGTGAGAAGAACAAAGGGGTAAAAGGTGGGAACCATCTTTTTAGGGTGCCTCCTCTCTTCTTGACCCTTGAGCTGGGCTTTTCTTGGGGAAATCTTTCCAAAACCTCCTTTGAAGCCAAGCTTGACTCTTCTTCTCTTTGGTTCTGTTTCTGTCACTAAAATGCAGAAGAAGGTGTTTCTCTTACAAGAGTGGCTCTCCCCTCTCTTCTCCTTGCAGCTCAGCTTTTAAGCCCGAGAGGAGCTGAGTTCACGGCCTGAGTTCACGGCCGTGAACCATCAAACGCGTCCGTGAACTCACTCCTTGCACCAAAACACTCCGCATCGATCACGGCAGTTCATGGGCAACTGCTTGTGTTCACAGTCTTAGTGACCGTGAACTCGCCTTGCGTCAGTAACCTTCAACTTGGCCATGGACGCCTTGCACTTCACGGTCAACTCCACTTCTTCACGGTCTTGCACGACCGTGAACTCCTGCCTTTAGTCGTGAACTTGCGCCTTTTCACATCTTCTCCCGGTTTTCATCTTTTTCGCCAATCCTTCGACTCCGAGGCTGGTTCCACCGGTTAAATCCTGAAAATCACTCAAACACGAAGAACCTCGCGTAAAACCAAAGCAAATTTGGCACAAATATCTAAGCAAATCGGGGGGCAAAATATGTGAATTAGGCCCGAATCAGAAATACGTGTAGTCTTTGCTTCAACGCAACTGGTGGAGGAAAAATCACAAGGATGTGCCACCTTATCTCCAAACAAGTGTTGTTTAAACATAGTACTTAGCCGACTAGAGTTTGGGTGACCCAATCTTGAATTCCATAATTGGAAATGTTTATCACCAAGACTTGAAAAGACTGGAAACGACTTTGATACCCTAGACACCAACGTACGAGAAGAAGGAGATGATGATGATGACGAATCTTCAAGCTCCTCAAGATAAGAAAATGCGCCCCTGCTTGCTACCCCTCCCTATCTCCCGCCCCGTCTTCAGATCCTGCATAGAACAGGCGGAAGGTAACACAACACGGCAACCTTGCTAAGTTAATTGACCAACTGAAACCAAGCTAGGAACAAGTTTCGGCACATATAATGTATCAGGAAGATGTAATAATGACCGATTAACCGTTAGTGTAGATACATTATTGGTCATGTGATTAAAACAAGCTGTGTCAAGAATCCAATAAGGAAGCTTATTGGATGCTTGAAGGTTTGCTAACACTGAGGTTATTATTTTGCCTTGTTCACTAGCTGCTCCAATGTAGTGGCGTGAACACCATTACTTCATTTCCCGGAGCTGGTTGGGTCACATATGTTGGCCGGGGATTATGGCCTTGATAGTCACCACCGCCCCCTCTTCCATAGAAGTCCGCATTGCCTCTTCGTGCTTGAGAATCACCTCCCCCACGCTATTGAGAACCCCCATTCCCATACATGCCGCCATCCGATGCACGTTGCAGAATAGTAGGACAGTCAGGAATAAAATTGACCCAACACAAAAATTACGGCGACGACAATATACATCGTTCGTGACAGTGATGGCACTCAACTTCCCGGCGAGAGGTACCGCCATGATAGGCGGCAAAGGAAACATCACCAAACTCATCTCGGTCATTGCTTACAGTGGGAGTGCGGCCGGCCTCTAGGCCCGCCTCCTTGTGATGACCCAACACCTAGAGTTGGATTCCCTTTCGCGGCAGCAACAACAAATATCGCGCCGTCTCCGTGACCAGGTCGCGCATCATTGGCACCTTGGGCGCGCAACCTAGTTTCCTCCCGTACAAGAGCTCCCAACACATGTTCCTGCTGAATATCTTCTCGGTTGAGAAGAGTGGCTCTTACACTCTCAAAGTCAGGACGCAAGCGGGGCAAAATTGGAGCAACCGAGTTCTATTTCTCTCCTCTTACAGCTCGGCAGAACGTGAGGCGGACAACAATGAGGCAGCAAGTAAATCTTGCTCTGTCCACAGCAACCTGGCAGAATTAAAATAAGTGGTGAGATTTTGATCGCCCTGATGAAGATTCCCGAGCTCAAACTGTCGGGCGACGCTTGTAGTTGCATATGTATCTCGCAGCAATTCCACATAGCCGCTGTAATAGGAAGAAGACGTAGACCCAAAACTATAGAGGAATCCACCGATTTTAAAAGCCATGATCGTACCTTGGCGTCCGACTGCACCCACTTGGCGAGCTCGGAGGAGGATGCAGGAGTAACGACTGGCTTCACCGCCGATCCATCAAGATGACCAGGAAACCCTTGTCCTTCAATATATAGAGTAGAGAGAAGTTGAGAGAGAAAAGGACTTGATTCTATTATTAGTGTTGGGAAAGATATATATACACGAGAACGTCCAACAGTAATAAACAACTAATGAGATAATACAGGAACGTGGACGTTCAGGAGCTACTGACTTTGACGAGGTAAACTCGTTTGGTCGTTACACTTAATATGCCCCTGCAAGATTAAGTCACCGGAGGAGACGCCAATCTTGGGACGGAGAGCAAGAAAACGAGCCTTGGGGAGTGACTTGGTGAGTAGGTCGGCGAGTTGATACGAGGAGGGTAGGTGCCGAACTTCGAGTTGACCTTTTTCCACACGATCACGTACAAAATGGTAATCAACAGCCACGTGTTTCATGCGGGAATGGAATACTGGGTTGGAGCTGAGATAAGTGGCGCCAAGGTTGTCGCAGAAGAGGACCGGGGCAGCGGTGGAACACATGTGAAGTTCAGACAGGAGAGAGCAGTGCCAAGCAAGTTCAGCTGCGGCAGCCGCAATGGCTTTGTACTCTGCCTCGGTGGAGCTACGAGCTATGGTTTTCTGCTTCTTTGATGGCCATGACACCGGAGTGGAACCAAGATAGACAATGTAAGCTGTGGTGGATGAACGGTCGTCCAAGTTACCCGCCCAATCGGCATCGGAGAAAGCCTGAAGATGAAGTGAAGCGGTCGCGGAGAAGGAAATTCCATAGTCGAGGGTGCCCTTTAAATATCTAAGGACACGCTTGACAGCCTGCTAGTGAGACTCTGTAGGAAGGTGCATGAATTGAGACAAACGGTTGACGGAGAAGCTGATGTCTGGACGAGTGAAAGAGAGATACTGAAGGCCTCCGAGGATGCTCCGATAGGTAGGGCCGTCAGTTGAAGCGGAGCCATCATCCAAGCGTAATGGGGAGGTGGATGATAAAGGAGTGGAGTTGGGCT